GGGAGGGGTTTATCCGGGGGGCGTGGCCTTCGAGCGCTCTGCTGCTGTAGATGAGGGGGTTTCGGGGGCACTGAACGAGACAAAATCAATCCGCAAATCAATACAGTCAGACTGGAGCACAATCACATGACCGCATCACAGACACACACGGATATTGAATTGGAACAAAAGGGTAGAATAACAAACTTTTATTAGATTCCATCATAACTGTATATTATATCATATTTTAAATTATTCATGAGGTCAAACAGAATACAGTAAACATAAAAAAAATGGTGATGTCAATTTAGTTACAAGGTTTGCGTATATTTAAATATGCAAAAAAACATACACTACCATTTAAAAGATTTTTTTTTTTTACTTTTTTCAGCAGCAAAGATTTTTACATAATTAACAAAAAATGCATTTTAAAAAATCCTCAAAAATCCTAAAAAAAATTTTTATCCCTTTTTTCTAAAAAAAAAAAAAAAACTGTTTTCAACATTGATAGATTTCTGATGGGTCATGTGACACTGAAGACTGGAGTAATGATGCTGAAAATTCAGTTTTGCATCACAGGAATAAATTACATTTTAAAATATATTCAAATAGAAAACAGTTATTTTAAATTTTAATAATATTTCACTGTTTTTACTGTATTTTTGATCAAGTAAATGCAGCTTTGGTGAGACGTCTTGATAAGAGACGTCTTTCAAAAACATAAAAAAAATCTTGCCGACCACAAGCTTTTGATTGGTCCTGTAGCTCTTGAATCTCATTTGCATATGTACATACTGTATTTAAATCAATAACAACAAATATACCGTCATTCCTCAAACAAAGATATTTTATGGCTTCAGACGACTTGAAATATGGCATAAAAGTTGCCTTTTTGTCCTTTTTAGAGCTTGTTCACTGTATTTGTGAATTGTATAGAAACAAAAAGCTTGGACATTCTTCAAAAAATCTAATTTTGTGTCATAATGGTGAGTAAATGATGATCGAAGTTTAATTTTTGGTTGAACTATCCCTTTAAACATACCTTGAGGCTTTGGCCCAGGTAAAGGTGGGCGTGTTTTAGGGGGTGCAGGTGGGACGTCCTGAGGTCCGTCCTCACTTGTGCCATTGCAGTGCTGTGGTTCCAGGGGTCCAGGGTCAGAGCAGAGGCGCTGTGGGGTCTCGTGGGCTCCGAGGCAGGGGCCTGGCTCAAGGGACAGACTCTTGGTTAGCAGCCGTGGACTGGCGGTGGACGGGCCTGACAGAAAGAGAGAGTGCAGACTCGCTTTGATTTGGAGAATAAAGGGAATCTGAATAAAGGGAATAAACCATGGCTGATGTTCTTTATCAGTTACAACCAATAACTTGTTATTGGTTTCATTTGAGTAGGTTTTGGCCAAAATGAGACTTGTTTTAAAATTCAGATTAGTTTGAGTTAAAATACACCACTCTCTCTTTCATAGCCAGAGCTTTGTGATTTCACAGCAGCATGTACACAATATAGTGCGTTCCCATCAGGGTGGTAAATGTGAATAAAATTGGCTTTGGCAAGAAAATAAAACAGTTACTTGTAAACGATTTGAGTCATTGCAAATGAACAACCAAAACAGTCATGCATTTCCTAACAACTTTTAACATCAGAAGATTTTGTAGGATAATGAAAGTTTTTCTCCAGAACAACATGGGAATGAAGCCACCACAACAATGAGAAAAAATAATATAAGAAACAAAAACATGATGTGTTCATTTTCAGTTTTACAGAGAGACGGACTGATTCATATTAAATATATATATATATATAATTCATAATGACCTGTGTTGTTCAAAAGTTTGGGGTCAATACGATTTAATGTTTTTGAAAGAAGTCTCTTATTGCTCACCAAGACTGCATTTTTCTGACCAAAAATACAGTAAAAACAGTAATATTTGTGAATTATTATTACAATTTAAAATATATGATTTCTCTTTGGATATATTTTAAAATGTAATTTATTCCTGTGATGCAAAGCTGAATTTTCAGCATCATTACTTCAGTCTTCAGTGTCACATGATCCTTCAGAAATCATTCTAATATGCTGATTTGCTTTTTGTAGAAATTGTGATACAGGATTCTTTGATAAATAGAAAGTTCAAAAGGACAACATTTATTAGAAATAAAAATCGTTTGTAATATTAGAAATGTCTTTATGATCACTTTTGAAAAATGTAATGCATTCTTGCTGAAAAGAAGTATTAAAACCCAAATAAAACCCAAACTTTTGAACAGTAGTGTAAATGTTAATGAGAACAAAAATTATCTTTAATAAAAAATATAGCAAAATGTTTCAGTAATTTTTCAATAATGCTAAAATTCAATCCACTGCCATTCAAAAAGTACATTTAAAAAGTAAAAATTGTCTCATCATTGCTAGCATGATCATCTCAGACAGGAAACACTTTATGTATCAACAAGAGAGAAGAAAACAAGACGGGCAAATTCAATTCACCCTAATTTAATGGAGCCGGCTGGGCGTAATGGATTACAGATTACAGAGTGATATTTCTGAACGCCAGAAAGCATAAATGTACAAAACGTTTTCACACAAATCACCTCTGGCTCAATAAACTGCGAGTCCAGATCCAGTGATAAATCCAAGTATATACTTCACATCAGTCTTGGGCTTAAATTACACACCAGTTTGTGCTGACACAATGTGAACATGACATCAAACTGTGTAAAGAGACTTCTGGGTAAATAGGGAGAGCAGTTGAGCGCTCTGTGCCCGTGTTGGGCCGTCATGTGTTAAGTAGGTCAGTGTGTTAAAGTGCCAGTCACTACTGTGTATATTTGCCTGTTCAGCTCAATCATTGTAACACATCGTGAGTTTGGATCTAGTGACATAACAAAATTCACAGGCTTTGATATCAAAATGAGCACGGACAGGAAAAAATCTTGTAGGAATTTCTTAAAGTGGCACAGTCGGGTCAGATGGTGGGCAGACCCGCCGTCTAGATGACGTTGCCATTTTTAAAAAAGCTCGCCTGTCCCCCTACAAAGAGCTAATTGGTTCCATATTGTGACACTCATACCAGCTAGTGAAGGCAGGGGGCTGAAATGACTTCCACATGCTCCACCAAAATTACTTAAAGGTGAAGAAAGGCTAGCGAGGGAGAAAACCAGAGTTATCCTAGCCGCAGATTTGGATTCGCAGCACATGTTGTTTTTCCCATGTGCTCTGGAGATCCTGTACGGGAAAGGGATGTGTGCTGTGACCTACAAGCCCGTTTGAGTTGGGACAGATTAAATATGTATCAAAAGAACAGGCCCGTCCAAAACACATCAACTTAAAGAGCACATAAAAGACAATATAATGTTTTTCAAATAAATTTTTAAAATCAAGTCTTTTTACTGTTATTGCAAATAGCAGAACTATACTATGTGTCATGAAACTGCACAGGTATACGAAGGTTGAGGATCCAGACGCAGTATTTATTAAAGGAGTAATCCACAAAGTCCAAAAACAGGTAAAGGTTATAACCAGTGTTGGGCAAGTTACTTCCAAAATATAATACATTATATATTACTTATTACTTCCTTTTAAAAGTAATTAGTTACATTACAATATTACTGTCTCTGAATTGTAATGCTTTTCACTACTTTTAAGTTACTTGTGAGTTACTTTCACTTTCAAGCACAAACCGCAATTAGCCTACATTCAGAAATAATAGCGGTAAATAAAGCGGAATGTTATAGGTCCTAATGAACAAGCAATACACACTATAGCAAGCCTATAGGCTATTTTAGTTCTCACTTCACAACAAATCCTTTAAATTTAACTGTATTCAGAACAAAACAAGAATGAAAAATATAAGTTGCTAAACAAGCCAAAACGAATTAATTTAAAGCGAAACTAAAAGCAAACGCCTTTGTTCTCACGCAGCCTACCTCTATCATTCGGCACAAATCCAAATGTTTCCATACTTGCAATGTATTTGAATGCTAAACTATTAGCCTATTTAGTATGTAAACCATGCTTTTGTAGGCTACTTAACGCGCTTTCCGAAAAAAAAGAAAATATCACACTCTTCACATGAACAAATATGTGCTTGGCCCGAGCTCAGGCTGAACGACACGGATTGTACGAACGATTTTAATTACCAGTGTATCTATATTTGGTTGACTGTATTTTATTCTGATAATGAACAGGCTGCAACGTTTGCAATGCTGTATGTGTGTGCGTGAGGCGCCGGCGCAATCGAACAGTGGAAACATAAAATAATCCGTAATTTTTGGTCATGATTACAGTTACATTTATTTTGTAATTAAATTACGTAACGCCGTTACATGTAACTAGTTACTCCCCAACACTGGTTATAACACAGGCAATCAGTCCAAACAATAGCAACTAGGGCTGGGTTTTGACACAAATTTCCCGATTCGATTTGATTCTCATTCACAAGCTTGCGATTCGATTCCCGATTCGATTTGATTCAATATAGATTATTTTGGATATATATCAGGTACAGTACATGCCAAATTTTCTCAAGGAAAAAAATCTCTCAACTAATGCTGTAAAATATACATGAGAGTCAGTTGGTACTACATTACTATAATATTGAAGGTTAAAATTGACTGATTTTTCATGTTTATTTTGTGCTGAAACTGGTATTAATGTGGAGGAGATGATTAGTTCACGTGCGCCTCGCGCTGCTGTGTCTGTTGAACTGAGGCGCGCCGCGCTACAGAGATCTATCACTCCACATTAAACCAAAACAGCATTTATTGTTTGAATACTGCAATACAATGGACAGAATTTGAAATCTGAGACTTTGTTTCATATTAAAAGTACCAAAGCACAATGCTTATTGCGATATATTGGATGGGAAGTGCCCTTCAACATTCCGTCCATTAACTGAAAACAGGCTAGACTAATCGATTCTTGGGATTTAAGAATCAATATCGTTCCGTAAAAATGATAATCGATTAATATCGAGATATCTAAATTTTTTACCCAGCCCTAATAGCAACAGGGCAAAAACACAGGCAACGGGTAAACCAAACAGGCAGGGAAACAAAACCAGGAACCAAGACACAGGAGAACCAGAAAAACAAGGCTTAAAAATACAGTTCAGACACATACAAGACTTAGCAATGAACGACAGAGAGAACCGGGCTTATATAAGGTGAGCTAACAATGCTAATGTTAGCTCACCCTGAGCACTCCAGCTGGGCTGCTGATCGTGACACTGAGCATTATAGTCGGTATGTATTCATTCTATATATATATATATATATATATACTGTTTCAGATGCTCATTTTATGTGTGGAGATCAAAAATGCTGTTTATTTTTTTTTCATATTTAGAATGTTTATTTAAAAAAAATTTATTTCTTTATTTTAAAATTTTGTTGAAGTTGTAGTAATTTTGAGTGTTTTTGCCATTTTTATTAGATTTGTAAAATGTCTATATAGTTTTAATTCATTTTTTCACTTTTAGTTATTTCAGTACATCAAGTTAAATTAAATGAAAATGAGAAATGTTGCCTTGGCAACTAGCTGAAATTAAATCAACTTATATTTTATTTTATTTCAGTTCATGTTTTATTTCAAATCACAAAAATAAATTGAATCATAAAACAATATATACAGTACTACAGTTTATAAAATGCACTACATTTTACTATAATTACTATAAGAAGAAAATTCTATTTCAGTCTTTCTACTTCAAAATTCCATGTTTAATTAAATGTTACTTGTCAGTTTCTTGTAATTATTAGTGAAATTTACTAAACGAAATAATTTCATTGCATCATTGCAAACTGTAAATTTTACTATCTGCCAGTGGAAAATTGTTCATCAAGAATCATTCATATTCACATGCTGAAGTGTAATACTTAGTGTAAGCAGTTTGTTCAGATACATAACCCTATATATGAGCAATAATGTCACTGTAAATATTGTTGCTTAGCTTAATGCTAATTATACAAGCTCACTGCCCAAAATAACATTTTAAAACTGGAATTTTACAGAGATGAACCCAGAAACCCACTGTTCAATTTCTATTAAAAAAGAACCTAACTAGTTTTTTTGAGACAGACTTCTTTTTCCATAGCAGACAAAGAAAAAAATCTTTCCATTTACAGGCACAAAGCCTAAAGTCACAAAGGGCACAAAGTCATCAAGACATCTAAACAGATGGGAAAATTCCTCCTGTATGACCAAAAGCATGCAATTTAATGAATATTAGCATTGCACGCTCATTTTACAAACTGAATGT